GACCGTGAGTCCGAGCGACGTCAAGAACGGAATCTGATACCTCCATCCGAATGAAAGGTCCGGGAATCCATGGACGAGGAGGACCGTTCCCCGTCGAGCCACGGATGGAAGAGGTTCAGAGTATAGATAGCCGTAGGTCAGGCCATTGAGAACCGCCGAACGCTGCTGCACCCGGGGATCGTTGAAAGGTTTGATCTTGTCCACTGCCATAGACGTCTTCTGACATATATAACCTTCTCGGAATTCTTGAAGGGAAGGGGGACGAAGTCGACATTGATTGTCGACGTAGACGTCGTTGTTTATCAACGTGCGCGACTGAGGTTGTGAATACCATTTCGGTCTCGCCTCGGGTGTTGACTATTCAAAGCCAACCCCGTATTTCCTATTCTATACTTTTGCCGTTCATGGTTTCGCTTGGTTAAGCCCACCCTACGTTCGCACGTGGGACTATATTCTGTCGTGATTTGGTGTCTCCTTGCCGAATAAGAGGGGATGGCATCGCTCAAACAGTAATCTGACCAGCATCCCAGCAAAAAGGCATGTGCTCCAATTGACCAAGCAATAGAAACCCTGGCTTGGTGTGTATCGCATTGACCAGCACCCGCTTACCACGTGTAGCTGTAGCGAGGCGAAATCCGAGTCAGCCTTGACACTTACCGCGAATAGTTTAGCGAGATTTACTCTCTCACCAGAGTTGAGAAGAGAAGCTTCTCTTCCCCGCGTCTGAGATTGGCGCTATGGACTTTTAGGCTCATTCTGCGAAAGTCTGGGAGAACTTGTTCCTCTATCCGTTCTCAGAGTGGTCGAGGAAGCCAAGGCAGACAACACAGGGTGAAAGATTCGAACATTTTCAGACATCATGACCTAGTCGATGTTGGTTTGTCCAACCCTCGAGCATCTGAATTTCCTACAACTCCCACGGCGAATGTCCTTGCAAGGCAGAATCGAGCGTCGTATTCGGATTTCTGGAAGAGGAATGGCCCTCATCGTCATGTAGTTGTCACACACGTCGAGAATCTATGTTTTCGCTCAAATGCGACGAGCTGGTGGTGGTTATATAAGTGCCAGCGCAGAGAAGCTTCCTGATTCTACGGCAAACAAGACTGTGAGTGTGAATACCGGCCTGATCCGATGCTGCCCTTGCTTGGTATCCACCTCTTCAGCATGAACCATCTAAAGCCTCGCGGCCCTTTGACGGCTTTCTTGTTCTTTCTCGTCTATCTACATCAGACCCTTGCCGACCCTGCGATATATTGCAAGCCCGTTCCGTCCTCGCAAAACTGGCCTGCTCAATCGGCATGGCAAAAGTTAAATGAGACTATATCTGGAAGACTCTTTGTGGACGTACCTCCTGGAGCTGTCTGTCACCCAGGAAATTCACTGTTCAACAATGTCACCTGTGCTTTTGTTCTTTCGCAATGGACAAACTCGAGCTTCCATGCCAACAACCCCATTTCGGCGGACTACAATGATGACGGATGTCTGCCATCGCCTTTGGCGCCTTGTTCTGTCGCTGCTTATCCATCCTACGTTGTCCACGCTACCAAGGCATCTGATGTACAAGCGGCAGTGGAGTTTGCTGCAAACACAGGGGTGAGATTGATTGTCAAAGGAACTGGTCATGATCTCCTGTCCAGGTAAGAGTCATAAACCCCTTTTCTATTGAAACGCAATTAACTGCATCAGGTCATCTGGAGGCCAGTCTCTGTCAATATGGACACACAATATTGTGGGTGTCTCGGTGAATACTAGTGATCCACGGGCTCTTCCATATGGCGGAGTTGGCTCGGTCAAGATCGCCGCTGGATCGAGGATGGCGGAAGTCTACCAAGAGGTTGCAAAGCATAATCTCACGGTAATTGCAGGTGGTGATATGTCGGTCGGTATTGGTGGATGGATCCTCGGGGGTGGTCATTCTCCCATCAGCTCTACGTATGGACTCGGAGCAGACCAGATCCTCGAGATGGAAGTGGTTACTCCAGACGGCGAGTTTGTCACCATCAACGAGAAATCGTACCCAGATCTATTCTGGGCCATGCGAGGGGTGAGCTACTATGTCAACCGTCCTACCAAGGAATCGACTGACCGAAGCTATAGGGTGGAGGCTCAACCTTTGGCGTCCTCATCAGCGTCACCATGAAGGTCTATCCCACTCTTCCTGGCAGCCTCGCCATATTTTTCATCAACACCACTTCCAACAGCGACACTTTCTGGTCAATCTCTACATATTTCACCTCGCAGGTTCCCAGTCTGTCAGACAAAGGTGCCAATGGATACCACTACTTTGTCCCATATGCTCCGCCAAACCCTCCGGACCAGGCAGGGGTTATAGTCGGTGGCTACTTCTTCCCGAACAAAACAGCCACCCAGGTCAATGCAATCCTGGGTCCCGTAATCACCAAGATCAACACAACAGACTGGGGTGACGAGGTCTTTGTCGCCACCGAAACCATCCCGATCCCAGATTTCACCAAGTTTTGGATGACGAACCAGCCTGAGACCGTAGGACCGTCTGAGCGTCTAGGTTCACGTCTCTTGAGCCGCGGTGCTCTGACGGGGAACCAAACAGCGCTGGAAAATGCACTGCGCACTGCATCAAATGGCACCTGGACACTCCTCAACCACCTGGTCGCGGGGAAAGGGGTGCGCGATGCTAAAATACCCGGTGGGAACAACTCGGTGTGTCCCGCGTGGCGAAACAACACCTATATTCATTTCGGTGAGTGTATCATACTGCTGTCTTCACTTATCCAAGGGGTAGCGCGGTGCTGACTCCAGTCTTCCTCTTCTGTCAAGTCACCTACCGCCAATGGACACCTTTGAACCAGACCGAAAAGACGGCTGTCACGGACGAGCTCCGCAATAGGGCCATCGAAGCCCTGCGAATCCTCGATCCTCACACGGGAGCGTACGTGAACGAAGCCGATCCAACAGAGCCGAATTGGCAAACCACCTTCTGGGGTTCAAACTACCCGCGGCTGTTGGCTCTCAAGAAGAAGTACGACCCGAAAGGGATATTCTGGTGCAAGCCCTGTGTGGGCAATGAACTGTGGAATGTCACGGGCAGTTCCGCAACGCAGGATGGAATCGGGCAGGATGGCGGGATGATCTGTAGAAGTCAGTGAGGTATGAAAGGGGTCAAACATCTGGAGTTACAACTACGTATGCTTTTGCAAAGTCTCCTTTGAAGCTTCTCGATATGGCGACACTGTGGTGACGCCTCGTTTCCCATTCTGAGGCACCTGAGCTTCTCTAGCTGTTGAAAGGTGAATAAAACGACTCTCCGGCAAGTTCTTGCCGACTCTGGAGAGGCGGAGGAAGAAGAATGAGGTATTATGAGGTCACAAGGCGATCAGAAGAAGATGGATACCCGGGCCGGGTTGAGGGAATTTACTCATAGAAAAGTCCAATGCAGATCGACAATCTCCGTCTGTTCCGGTCTATAGCGCGGGCCTCTAGAAGAAGAAGAAAATTGGCACAGTCTGACAGAGAGTAGACGCCTTCTCAGAATTCAGCTAGTAGTCACTAAATAGCCATGAGCCGGCGGCCAAATCAAACATGATTAATGTAATTGATAAGGATAGGCATGCCATTATGCCTAAGGAGGTTTACCCTTGATCTGACGGTGAGTCCCCCCTCATTACTACTTCTCGTCAGACGGGTGCCACTTATTCTTTACACCCGCTCCGGGGATGCCAATGCTAGACCTGGTGATACTCCTCTCCAAATGTATTGCTGTCACTAGTTATGGTATTATCTACAGGGCTTCCCGAAACCGCCCCCCCTTTGAGGACACATTGCGACTTTGTCTCGGCGGGAGCAAAGGAATCGGTGGACCTGGTCTAGCTAAATATGTAATTGCTGCCCGAAAACCCTACCCAATCACCACGTACGATCAAAACCACCCAGTTTTCGAGCTTGGTTACAGTAGTTGTAAAGACATGTTTATATAATATGAGCCATACAGCTAGTATATCCTTTACTGTTCCGCGAGTCGCCGTTGGCGCCTTCATTCGAAGCAAAAGGCGATTGAGAGTCAGACACGTCGATAGACCTTTCTTATTGGGAATAGAGTACCGGCAGAGTTATTCCAGTCGCGAATATCTCGTCACGAACAACACAGCTTTGTACAGTAACACATTGACATGCCTCACCCCTTCGCCCCCTCGCCCCTTCATTAGCACCCAAATTCGCTGGAAGGCATGTTCGATCTATGTACGCAACGTCTAAGGCCAGGTTTCGGGCAACTCGTGCTTCCATCGCTGTCATCTCAGCGTGCCAACCTCTCTGCCTCTCCAAAATGACAAGCCGAACAAATATGCCACCCTCATGCGACTCACCTGCAAATATTCGCGCTCGAAGACGTCAAGGGACAATTCCTTACGTTTCTTCTTGCAGTACACACTGATTCAATTGCGCCTTCATCTCGCATGTACACAGAATACACTCGGGGTCACATGTGTTGAGTCTAGCCCCATACAGTATCGCATCCAAGCGCAGATCCTCGCATTCACCAATCAACAGCGAGCACAGACTTGGCACGACCGCATCTTACTGTATCTGAGGCCGCGAACATTAATAGCAGCGACGATTTTACCCAAATCGACGTCGACCGTTGCCAACCGCTCTCAGAGGGCTCAATGCCGTGTACTCGAGGGATGCAAGGAGAGCCAACATGAAAAGAGGTGGTTGCGTCCAAGTACAGTACAGTACCATCGATATTCCCACCTGTGTTCAAATCTCCTTCTGCGGTTGCAGCAAGCAATTGAGGTTAATATGCCACGATCACGTGCCAGCACAATGAGAGTGCCAACACATCGCTCTCTTGTTCAGCCGTATCCAGACCTGGTCGGCGTACCAGCTCTTTCCATGACACCAGGTCCTCTGGATCCTGAGATTCCCGTTATTCCCAACCCCTACCGATGCGACATCCTGCCCCTCCTGCCATCACCGATTGTCCTTACGATCTCGTCTTGCTTGTCCCCTGAGCCTTCTCGACGATGCCTTCTCTCCCGATCGAAGAGTACCAGGTGGGCTGGGTGTGCGCCCTCCCCAAGGAGCTGACGGCCGCGCGGGTGATGCTGGATGAAGAGCATGAACCACACACGAATCAAGTGCCGCACGACAATAACAATTACGTGCTGGGACGCATTCATGGTCACAACGTGGTGATGGCGTGCCTGCCTGCCGGAGTGTATGGCACCGTCTCCGCGGCGACCGTGGCGACCAACATGTTGAGGACTTTTACAAGCATCCGCTTCGGCCTAATGGTTGGCATCGGGGGAGGAATCCCAGGCTCCCACAAAGGCGGGGACATTAGGCTCGGTGACGTGGTGGTCAGTCAGCCTGATGGGACGCACGGGGGCGTGGTGCAGTACGACCTCCGGACGAATCTGGGAGATGGAGTATTCGAGCAGAAGGGCAAGCTGCGGCCACCTCCAACTCTCCTGTTGACCGCGCTGGCCAACCTCCAATCAAAACACCAAATGTATGGTTCACAGATCCCGGAAACTCTTTCCGCAATGGTCCAGCGATTTCCACGATTGGCCAAGGGAGGGTACGTGCATCCTGGTGTGGAGAACGACACACTGTTTTGCAGCAACATCGAAGGCCACCGAGACGGGGGTCATTGCACCGAATGTCAGAACGGCATTGTCAACCGACAGCCTCGTGAAGACCACAGTCCCGAGGTTCATTACGGGGTCATTGCTTCAGGAAACGAATTGATGAAGAATGTGGTCGAACGGGCTCGGCTGGGCCGCGAATTCGGCGCCAAGTGTGTGGAAATGGAGGCCGCTGGATTGATGCCTGATTTTCCCTGTGTTGTGGTGCGAGGGATCTGTGACTATGCCGATTCCCATACGAATGACGTGTGGCAGGAATATGCGGCGGCCACCGCTGCCGGGTTTGCCAAAGAACTGTTAGCCACTGTCAAGCCAGCAGAAGTGGTGTCGGTCAAACAGGCTGCAGAGGTAATGAGTAAGTCTTGCAAATCATCTCCCCGAGGTAGTTAGAGCTAAATATATCGTGGATTGACTTCTATGGGATAGGATAGAAGTGCTGATGTCTCGGTAGAATATAATCTCGGTCTCAATCTCTACGATGCTCCGGACATGAACGAGGATCTCTTTATTGGTCGACAGAGCGAGATTCACCGGATGGAGTCGATCTTGCAGCCTCAGTCCGACACAGTCGACTCCGGCAGAAAGGTGCTTGTTCTCGGCGGCATGGGTGGGATTGGCAAGACTCAGCTGGCGATTTCCTATGCCAAACGACATCGGACCGACTATTCGTCCGTCTTCTGGCTGAATGCCACCTCTGAGGCCAGCCTCCAGACGAGCTTACGGAATGTGGCCCATCGAGTGCTACCTCCAGAGACAGTCGGTAAGCTTGACGGCAAGCAGATTCATGTGTCCATCTCGAATTGGCTCTCGGAACACGACAACACTCGGTGGCTACTTATCTTCGACAATTACGACGATCCGGATGAGTACTCGCTTCATACATATTTCTCATTTGCCGCGCATGGCTCGGTCATCGTCACCACGCGACAGCCGGGTCGAGTGAACGGAGTCGAGGTGCGGGTGCAATCGATGAGCAAGGAAGACGACAGCCTTCGAATTCTAGCTACTCGGTCCGGACGCGACGATGCAGAATCAGGTAAGGGAGGTTAATTCACTATTTGCTGTTTATAGCTAACCGTTCGAAGACCAAGATGCCCGACTCCTGGCCCAGCGACTCGACGGGCATCCCTTAGCTCTGGCAACAGCGGGAGCTTTTTTAAGTCAGTCTTCGATCAGCTTTGGCCAGTATCTTCGACAGTATCACGCGCGATGGAAAGTGATTGATTCGATGGAGGCATTGCCCGATTATCCTTCGCGCACACTCTACACGACATGGACTCTATCATTCACGCGGATTGAGCAACAATGCCCACGTGCAGCACATCTCTTGCGATTCCTAGCGTATTTGGATCACCAGGATGTCTGGTTCCAACTCTTCACAAGAGTGCAAGGTGACAACCGACCGGCGTGGTTTACGGAATTAGCGGGCGACGAGTGTGTGTTTGAGGATACGATGCGTATACTCACACGATACTGTCTCGTGGAAGCGCATTATCAGACTGGGTCATACGGTCTTCACGTGTGTGTCCATGACTGGACGTTAGAGGGGTTGAACCAACCGATCGACGCGAGGCAATACTGGTTAGCGTTTGACTGTGTGGCTAGCCACGTCGACAAGGAAAACGGGGATCATCTGTCGACGATTCGATATCGGCCGATCACGAGGCATGCCGAGCGGTTGGTGCACGGTCGCTTTCTGACAGCAGCAAACCGGAACGACTCAGCACGGACCAGATTAGATGCGATGATGTTACTGGCGGTGCTTCTTGGACAGCAAGTACGGTATAATGCCGCCGAGCAAATGTTCGTTCGAGCGCTACAAGGCTTTGAGGAGGCACTTGGACCGGACCACATATCGACACTCAATACGGTCAATAACCTAGGCCTCCTCTACATCACCCAAGATAAGCTAGTCGAGGCGGAGAAGATGTTCGTTCGAGCGCTACAAGGCT